CTAGACGGCCACCAAATACGCTTCGACGAAGTTGACATTCTGCACCAATCTGAAAGATACTACCCGAGACTCACCAGGGAGGCCATCGAAATATTTAAACACCAAAACAATTTCAACAGAAAAGAAGAAATTACGGCACTCAATCCAGATTGGAAGCGCGTCTTGCGCCAAACAGCATGTGCGCCGAAGCGTTGAAACCCCTACCCATCCCCCACGCATGAGCACACACGGCTGGGCGGCATAAATACGACTGGGAATCCAGCAGTTGAATCATTCTTAGTCGGAAAGCACGGGAGATCACTTCGCCCACTGCCTCATCGCCTTTGAAAATGTCCACCGCAGTTGTGGACGAAACGTCAGGAAGAAATTCCAATAGACCACGACTTCAAAGCCCGGAAAACATTCCTAAATGTAATCTGACCGGCCGTGAAAGCCTTCATAGTCTGAAAAAAAGGTCACAACATTTTTTCTGAGTAACGTTTTATTAGCTTGTTCAAACCACCAAAAAAGTAATCTAGATTTTCCCTGCAACAGAACTGAGTCCAAAAAAGTCGACGGGTTTTCATGTAAAATCGATCTCTTAATTTTGTTGCAAAAAGATTCAGTTTGTCAGTATTTTACAGTAAAGCGTTAGGAAAAACGCGGTTTTTCTGTTAAGAGACAGTGTTGTTTAGAAATATTGACCTAAAAGTGAAGAAACCCCAGTTTCAAAGAGTTTTCCAAATAAATTATTATAAACTTTAGCTTTTTCAGTTCAGGGAATAATTTTTGAAAAAACACCCAGAATTAATTATTACGGTTTTGGCCATAATTCAAAGCTGCAAAAAGTTTTCCAAAAATTTTTGCACAGTAGTGGAGGCAAATGTTACAATAAAATTTATCGTATAATTTTTCACAGAAAATTCCTAAAGATTGTCAGTATTTTAAGTAAAACTAAAAACTAATGCGATTTTTTGCCATTTCGATTAAAAACTTTTAGTTCTGTTATGGGTTTTGGAGAAAACCTTAATGTTTTTCTTGGAAAAACGGAAATTTATTTTTGTTAGTGTTATTTAGAAATATTGACCTAAATGTGAAGAAACTCCAGTTTCCAAGGGTTTTCCAAATAAATGATTATAAACTTTTGCTTTCTCAGTTCGGGGAAATATTTTTGGTAAAGACCTAGAAATAATTAATAGGGTTTTGTGCATAACTCGCAGCTGCAAAAAGTTTTCCAAACCTTTTTGCAAAGCGGTTAAATATTCGAGTGTTTTTTTCAGAAAATATCTGAAGAATGCCAGTATTTTAAAATATAAGTAAAACTAAAAATCGATGCAATTTTTGCGCAGAAAGAATTGCTTAATAGAAAATTTGCTAAAACTGGAATGACCTGAAAATTTAAAGAAACTTGAGAAATCCTCAGAGCGATGAGGGCGGCAAACTTTTCAAATTCGAAGTTGAAATGGGATTTCTAAAGTTCCCTGCAAAGGGATAAATGAGGCGAATTTTCTAGAAAAATTAATTTTGTAATTTTGCTGGAAACACCCCTTTATTGTCAAAGAAGAGAATCATCAGAAAATAATGCTTTATTGCGTTTTCGATAAAAACTTTTAGTTTTGTGAGGGTTGTTTTGGGAAGAAAACGGTAGCAATTTATTTTCGTTTTCGTCCTGATTTCGACACTGAAAAACTTTTTGTAAAATGTTTACAAAGCTATAAATTTCTCTTATAATTTTTCGCGGAAAAGTTCTCCAGATCGTCAGTATTTTAAAGTGAAACTCTACAAAATAGAGCGTTTTTGAGTAGAAAGAGTAAAGCAAAAAAATTCAGTCAAAGCTAAAAAATCACATTTTTTAACATTCTACAATCTTCAGAGGAATGGAGGTTTTTTTTATATTAAATTGTTCGATTTTTGTTCCAAATACGAAGCTAAAATGGGATTTCAAAACTTTTAGCATTTTTAAGTGAAACTTTAGAAAATTGAGCATTTAGAAAAAATAGTAACTTGGCTAAAACTGGAAAATTCTGAAATAACGAAGTAAAAAAAAGTCATCAACAATTTCCCAGCAACGGAACTCAGTTACTGCGCCGATGCGTTGGTTTGGCGCCCCAAGCCGTTTGCGCAGAACTGCGCCAACTTTTAAAAATTCACTGACTTACCCAAACCTACACCTCAATCGCCGGTGCACGCGTAGCATATATTTTTTTCTTAACCGTCCGTACCAGTCCTGGCTGATTGCGCTTGCGCTTCTCACTGTCGCCGCTATGCACATACTTGGTTTATAACCGCCTGGCCTTTTCTATAACTCTATCCGCCACTTCTGAAGTAGCAGCTCGAACCGAAATGCCAGCTATATCTCACCCAATAACATCTGCCCCGTTTCGGTTTAAATACAACTTCTAATACTAAATACTGTATCCGGCGTTTAAGGTGGGGGCCTACCTAAGCTTTACCGACGAGTCTAATGGTTAATTGTTTCTGGTTAATGTTTCTTTGTGTTTAAGAAGCAATCTCATAGGAGAAAAAAATGTTATGCTACTTATTTTTCTGATTTTTCACAGGCACGTATATAATTAAAGGGAAGGTCATAGGCAACATTTAAATATATCTGTTTATTATTTTAGAAAGCAGAAAACCATGAAAAACAAACAAGATCCATGACTATTAAAACTCCAAGAATCCAAATCGTTACTACGATTAAATAAGCATGAATTTCAGCAACAGCCACTGAACCAAAAATGTGCTAGAATCCACAAGAAACCACCGAAACTCTCCGTTTTGTATAGTAGTAAAGTACATTTTTATCTATTTAATGTTATCTATTTAATGACCTAAGACGCAAGCGAAAAGCCATCGGAAGAAATATTATTGGAAAATTGTATTGGTTGATATTGTACTGTTCACTTGTTCTATATCTGTTGATGTCTTGTATTGTTATTCCTTTTGTCTACGTTCTTATGTGCTATAAGATTTGTCAATAAAATTTATTTTAAATTGTCTGTGGCCACAAAGCATATTTTTATATGATGTGATAATAATTGTTGATCGTTGTTTGTTTAGCAATACAGCAAACATAAACTCATAAAATTAAATTTAATTTTATTTCAAATCAGCCTTGTCATACAAATGTCTAATTTAAGTTACAATATTTACTAGCTTCTCTAGACCCAACTAATAATAGTTCACCCACTTCGTTAATCAAGTCTACAACATAAAATCTAATTTTCTCACAGCCGTCGATGTTTTCAAGTAGGGCTACTTCGTTCCAATATATTCTAGAACTGCCTTTAACTAGGGAGCAAGGTATACAAATTTTATCAGCCAGCGCCTTGAAAAGCAGTGATTTTTCGCAATGAAATCCTAATCGTAGAAATCCTATAGGAATGATATTATTGCCCAGTTTGTGTTTGAGGCACTGTATATGGAGCTTGTATTCATGAATCTTTTCGGGCACACTAGCATGTGATCTTGAGCCAGATAATAACGTGTCTACATATTCGGATAAAAACTTAATCCGGTTTTTCATAGGACCTTCTAAAAATTGATCATATTTTCTGATATGATAAATATATCTAGGTAAAAAAACATCACTGGATACTTTTCCATAATTAATGTCTATCGCAGACGGAATCTCTGTTAGTGATGTTCCACGGGAACTCCGCAAGGTGGAGGACACACTTAAGCTCGAGATTGTACTTTCTGAAGAACGTAAGCTAATTTGACTTTCGATTTCGGGGTTTAAGCCTTTTTTCACTTCGTAAGAGTAGTCCACTATATAAATAGTTGGGTATGGCGAAACTTTCATCATGTCCAATATTCTCAAAAACGGAAAGGGGCCATTCCATTGACCGTTTATAATATAGAATTTGTTAGGCAGTTTATTAGTTATTTCCAATAGACCTGTTTCATAAAACTTAATAGGTTGATAATAGTTTAGCGCTAAGCATTTGACTCTGTTGCAAAATGGAATTTGTTGTACAACATAGTCACTAAAATTCTTCAATTCAGTCAATAAACCATTGTGCAGGAAAGCCATTGCCACATCTTCATATATGAGACAGGAAAATATCAAATATAAATTTTGTGTAAGCAAATTAAGATCTTCAGTACTACTCAAGATTTCAACGCATATTTTAGGACCTTTATTTCCCATAAAAATCCTTCTGAATGTGTCCAAAGAGGCAACACTCGCCATAATTTCACAACAAATTGTTGCTATTTTCACTTGTGGCGATTGCAAGTGGTTCAAAATTTCTCTTAAAATATCTTCAGTAGCGAACTCTTCCTGATACTTAGGGTGAACCAAGCATTTGTACAATATTTCCAAAACCATGTAGATACCATCAGGACTGAGCTTCGAAATTTTGTTATAGAAAAAGTCCAATAAAATAGTTTTTAAACGGTTCTGGAGAAAAACATCCAAGGCTTTGATATTTCTACGTATGAAGAAAAATACTGTTTTCAAAGCAATTTCGTTATATGGATCTTCTTCATCATTTTGTCGCTGAAGCATTTCAATTAGATCACCAGCAACCACCGGCGTCAACATTGCTTCGCAGCAATATTTGTGGGTTGTCATGTTAGAAATTGCCACACACGTTTTATTAAGTACTTGCTTATTTTTGTATCTGAAGAAAAATAAAATCGACTCTTCAACTGATAGGTCAAATAGAATTTGCTTTAGCTCCGGAATGCCAGTCAGCTTTATGAAGACTTCTATTAACGGCAGCAGATATTTTGGATGACATGTTTTTACCCATTGGCATAGTTCTAAGAATTCAACGGATTCAACAAAATAGCTGCTGGTTTCACTGGAGTTTAAGCAATTTTGAACTATTTGAATGGCATTTACATGTTGTTGTTCTTTTTCATCGTTCATAATAATCGTAAACATTTTTTCCATCAGAGATATTATTCGTAAAGTATCTTGGATAAAAGGCAGGCCATATGTGGAAAGTTTTTCAAAAACATTCAACGCCAAATTGGATATTTTATCGTCCTTGCTACTCAGATGCGTTACGATAATATTTAAATCGCAGGAATTGTGTTCAGCAAGTGCGGACACAGCTGCAGGAGCTTCAATCAGCTCGCAGAACAAAAGCATTGAATGATATAACAAATTAACATTCTTTGAATTCTTCATGTTCTCGAATACTGGAATGAGGAGTTTCACTTTGAAAATAAGAGTAGTAATTCGGCAAGAACTTGCAATTTTCGCAAGTACTTCAGCAGCAAGCTCTTCCACGTGGGAATCTTTGTGTTCCATGTACATATTGGCAATGCTTATTATTTGATCGTCATATTTGTTCTGATCAATTTCATATAAACCTTCTTCAATATTTACAAGGACTGACAACAATCTGAGAGACAGCCTCAATATGCAAATGTTTTTAGTGCAATTGTTCATTAGTTTTTGTACTATGCCGCTTTTAATGAGGCCAGCCAAATTGTTCTTACTAATGTCTGCATATTTTGAAATAAACAGCAACGCTTCTAATACAACATCCGCTTCGGGACTATCGATAAGAGTTACGGAAGTTTCAACTTGCCTGGTTGTATACACTTTTTCCTTTATGTCACTTTGCTTCGTTTTGTCTAATTTTGTGGATTTCTTTTCAGATAGTTCTTCTTTTGGGAGGATTTTTTCTTTTTCATTTGCTGACATATTTTATGGACTTGTAACTATTTTTGACGTATTTTTCTATTGACGCCGCCTAGAAACTTTTAACCTTAAATTTGAACTTTATATTCACCTTAAACCGCAGGTTTTAAACAATAGGCTTAACGCCTCAAAACATATTTGCTTCACCTTGAAAAAATATAGTTCTACAGTAGAAAAGCAAATTAGAATATATTTTGTGGTAACTTTTTTGTAATTCTTGAAAAAATGGGTAGTGGGAAAGCCCGAGAACGCTCTTCAAACACAAATTGTTTTTCAAGCTAATAAAATCCAGCTACATGTTCGAAATTTTGAAAATGCTCCAGTTCCAGTAACCTTCTTCTTCAAGTAAAGTTACCTCAGCATTAGCGATCAGTCGCATGATCTTCGCTTTGTCCCCAGCCGACCTAAAGAGATGAAACCATGATCTTCTTCGGCGACTGGAACCACGCATCCCCTCTATTTCTTGAATCTTTATTAATTACAAAATGTGGAGCAATTGATATTTAGAATTTCTCATTACGTGAGCAAAGTACTCCAGCTTTCTACTTTTTATGGTATTAAGTCCCTCCCTTTGCTTCTTCACACGCTATAGAACCGCTTCATTCGTCACCCGGTCCATCCACGATATTATCAGCATTTTTTGGTATGTCCACATTTCGAAAGACTCAATCTTCTTGCACATTGTTTCAGTGAGGGTCCATGCTTCTACCCATATGTTAGACATAGCAACCTCATAGGCGTCTTCTTAAGTGAATTCTTAGAGCCCTGTTGGTAAGAAAAATTTGCATTTTCTTGATAGATCTTCGCGCCTGTACTATTCTGCTTTTGGTTTCCTGAGTTAAGTCTCATTTTTAATTCACCCAGCAGCCCAGGTTTTTAGATTTTTGTATTCTCTCCACTGTCTCTCCATTTATGCTAATATCTGTTATATCCATCTGGCCTTCTTTATATTTAATCGTAGACCCATTTGTCGGATATAGTCTGTAACCGCTGCTAAGAGTGCAGGTAAATCATCGTTATCTGTTGCTAGTAAGACCGTGTCGTCCGCATATCTTAGGATGTTGATCACTATTTCATTAGCGAATATACCTTCTGTTCTCTCTTCGACAGCTTCTCTGAAATTGTTTTCTGCATATAAATTAAGCAGAAGCCACACAGCTGTGTGCTCTCCTCCCATTATAGGTACTTCTTTAGATGTCTGGCCGTTAATTCTAATGTCAGCTGTCTGATTCCAATACAAGTAGGCGATTATCTTAACATCCCGTCAGTCCAGGCCTATATCGTCCAGTATAGCTATTGTCGTGTTGAACAGTGTTTAATGCCTGCTCGTAATCAACGAAGATATTTATCGACGTTTACATCTGGGCATCGTTGTTTCAGATCCTGGAAGCTAGACAGGGCCTTCGTTGTACCGAAACCGCTTTCAAAACCAATTTGAGCTTTGCCAATATTTTCCTCGCATTTGGTTTATATTATGGAATGAACGATTTTCAGGAGCAAATTTCAAACATGGCTCGTTGATCTGACCGTTCTGGAACCTTTGCAATATTTGCAGTTAGCCTTCTTTGGTATAGCAACAAACGTTGACCTGAGTCAGTCTAGGAGTTATCTGAATAAGCTTAATAGAAGTACAAGAACCTTGTTTTCTTCCAATAGTAATAGCTGAAGAAAAGCTGCTTTCTTTTCGTTCTGTTAACTTTGCACATTTTCATTCAAAACCATTGCTTTAATAGTAGCAGATAGTAGTGGGTTTATGCAGCAATGGTTTGCTTTTAATCGAGACCTGAATCCAAACCCTAGTATTAAAACTTATCAAATTTTTAAATTGATAAGTAACACAACAGACGAGCCTACCAAACCAGAAATAACTATTAACGAAGATGCCACGATCAATATACCCGACGTAAAAAACGCACTACAGAAACTAAAAAATAGAAAAAGCGCCAGGCAAGACTATAAACAAAGTGAATTCCTCAAATACGGCGGGCAAAGGCTAACAGAATAGTTAACTTAAATACAGAAAATTGTATATCAACGCAAAATCTCAGATGAATGGTGAACCAGTACTACTGTGCTAATGCTCAAAAAAGGGGACAAGAGAATACCATCGAATTATAGAGGAATAAACCTTTTAAGCACTGCTCTAAAATTAACAACTAAAGTAATTACGAATGAAATCAACAATCTTACATCGTTGGCGGACGAATAACAGGGATTCAGATCGGGAAGATCTTGCTCAGACGCCATGATCGACAAATCGATTGAATACAACAAACCAGCGTTTATATGTTTTGTTGATCTGACTAGACAATTTGACAGTGTCCAGCTGAAAGACGTCCTGCATCTTCTTTACAACAGGCAAATCTCACACAATCTCATTAAAACCATAGAAAACAAACAACAAAATACGAGCACAAATAGAAGGAGACTTCACAGAACCAATACCAGCGGGTGGCGGTATTCGTCAGGGAGACTTCCTGAGTCCTACCCTTTTCAATTGAATATTGGAAGAAATTTTTTAAAGTGTTCGAGGGCTAAAGGCATACAAAATGGGGGACGCAGAAATAAAAATAGTGTGTTATGCTGACGATGCCGCTCTCATTGCAGAAAGTGAAGATGACTTATAAAGGTTATTAACCTGACAGCCAAGTCTCTAAATATGGAAATATCACCGACCAGAACAAAGTGCTTAACAACATTAAGAACCCCTCTAAGATGCAAACTGGAACTTGACGGTAATGTCATCGAGCAGAAAATAAAATTTAACTATCTTAGCGTGGAACTTTCTGGCTTTGGGGATATTCAGGCAGAGGTGAGAGATTAGAATAGCTGGCTGTCTGAATACAAAATGGTGCAATAAGAGTATGGGAACGGACAGAAAGTCGAGGATCTACAAAACCGTCGTGAGGCTGGTGATGACATATACCGCAGAAACCAGGCTAGAAACAGCAAAGACCAAAAGACAGAAAATACTCCGTAGAGTCACCGGAAAGACACTGCTGGATAGAGAGAGAAGCGAGGATATCAGAACAGCCTGTAATGTCAATAACATCAATGAGTGTGTAGCAAACAGAAAGAAGGAATGGAATGAGCACATAAGCAGGATGGACCACCGCAGACTTGTGAGAATCGTTCGCGACAAGTTCCCATTGGGACGAACAGATGTTGGGTGCCCCAGGAAACAATTGAGCGACAGCCTCAAGCAAGTGAAGGATAATTGAACAAGCGATTCGCCTATAATTAAGAATGAAGAAGAAGAAGTTTGGTATGAAGTGAAATGTTATGTGGTGTAATAAGTTGTAGGTAGATAATTTATATAATAGGTACGTATTGAATGCAGATACTTAAGACATTGCTTTGGAAATTGCCATATTAATTCTCTTCAAAATCATTAGTAGGTTTTCACATCAAGTAACTGTTGCTTTCGTAATGGTAATGAGAGAACCGTGATTTACAGAAGATAATCCAAAACAATTTACTGCGACTGCTGGAGTTTATAACAGCACATCGTTTATAGGTACTCGATGGTGTCATTCCTTAATAAAAAGAAGCAAAGAAAATGAACCTTGCCAATAGAATCCGGATGGTAATACAAAAAGTGAAATTGGCTATTTTCTCTCCAGTAATAAATCCGTAGTGAACGATGTTACTGCTCTAAAGTGTTGCAACTAAGAAATGGAGACAACTAATAACAAAAAGAACATCGACAAAACCAGCCTAGTACTAACATCCATATTGAATAAAACAGAAAATAGCGAGACGATTAAAAGCGAAAAATTTTTAGTTAAAATTAAAGAGTTTAGAATTTTAGGAAAAGAGGCAAGAAGGATGATGACGCACGTTCTAAATGAATACTATGAAAACGAAGTTACTACCAGAGAAAACTAAAGGCTTCAGAAGTCTCAGAAAGAACAACTATAAAAAACAGATAACAGCCCTGAAGGATTAAACGGGGAACGAAATAAGGGATAGAGAAGAAATAATACGAACAGCCGAACATTTTTACAGTAATTTATACACTCCAAAAGTTTAAACACCAGAGAAGCAAGAAAGCAACTAGAGATGTAGGATGGAGAACGAGATTAGATACGCTCTAAATCATATGAAAAATAATAAGCCACCGGGTGAAATGCAATTCTGATAGAAATTCTAAAAGAAGGAGGAGATGTATTGATGACAAGATTGTTCCCACTGTTCAATGAATGTATAGAACAAAGAAAGATACCCAAAAGCTAGAACAACGCCATTGTAATATTATTATTCAAAAAGAGAGATAAAACCGTGTGGGGTTGCTAGTCCCTCATCGAGGCGCCTCCCCAGGTGGCGGATAGGGAAATGCCTCCCAGATATGGGTGGTACCGGGGAAATGAAATACCCGGGGCGGACCAAAACTAACACTGAACCCCGGCAGCTGGCGGTATCAGTACTGACCACAAGCAGGGATTGATAATCTGTATCTGGTTGTGGATCCGACACTAAACGGCAGAGTGGTAACCACAAAAAGGAACTTAGACAGCGATGGAGAAAGCTACGGGAAACTACTCCATTACTCTTCCCTAGTACAGTTTTCATGGCAGTACAACATAAAGATGAAACCACTACTGATCATGGGACTCGGATACCAAGATCCGGCAAGGGAGGCAAGGGAGGATCACAATTAGACTGTCGGGCCTCTCAGGTCGTGAACATGCGAAAGCCCCACAACATGAGAAACAGAAAAATAACCCCAAAACAGGTTAAAATCGCTACATGGAATGTACAAAGTATGTACGAAAGCGGAAAAAACCCATAACATAATAAAAGGAACGAATAGGCTGAATATAGACATTATGGGCGTCAGTGAGACCCACTGGTCCGACTCTGGACAATGTAAGATACTTGACCACACAGTATACTACTCTAGCAATGACAACTCACAACATAGGAACGGAGTGGGCATAGTTGTTTCCCACGTATCCAACCAACGGTTAGATCCTTCACACCTTTCTCAGACAGAATGATGC